AGGGCAGAAGAAGAAGAGTTTCCAGGAAAGAGGGTAGAAGAATGCACGTTTTCCTCTTCCTTTTGCCTGTCTACCCTCAACCCCATTGCATGGTGCTTACCCACGTTCAGATTGGATTTTCCCATTCAATTCTCTCAGATTCACACAGGAGCCTCCTCTGTGAGCACTCTCAGACACACTAAGAAGTAATGCTTTACCACCTCCAGATATTTCTTAGTTCAGGATAATTCATGTAAAACATGATTCGTGAGTGCTAAGCTTTTCATAGATGTCCGTTATTGGATTGGAAACACTCACTCCTATTGCTAGTTTGCTGAGTATGCTTATTATGAGCACATGTTGAACTTTGTCAGTGTTTTCTGCATCCTCTTAGATGTTCCTATGCTTTATCTTTTGTGCTCTGGTAACATGATCAATAACATTGATTGACATCTGGATAGTGAGCCAGCCCGATCATTTTTCCATCAGCTAGGAATGACCCTACCTAGCAAAGGCCTTTTCCATTACTGTGACTATGATTTTTTTTTTTTATTTCCAGCATGTCTTCTTTGTAGCTTCCCTCTCTCTGCCAAATTACTTAATTTATATTTCATAATGTTCACCTTACCCACTAGAGCTGGTGTCTGCCTGCAGCTGCCCCTTATGAAGGCTCACATCTTTCACTGGAGGGGCTGTCTTTTCCTAAGGATTTAGGATTTAGGTTAGCTGGTTGATCCATCAGCTCAGCTGTCATACGGGTTCAACCTAATTTGGGAGTCAACAGCACCCAGGGTCCTGCTTGCATTTATGAGGTAATGCTCTTTCTAGCTTTTTATACACTAAGTAAAGTATGGAATCATGGTCTACGTGATTTTTCCCTCAAGTGCAAAATTCTTGAGGAATATTTTTTTCCACTTTAGGAGTTTATAGATGACATTTTTTTTTTTTTACATTGACTATTCACACAGAGAAAACCTTTAATGTATTCTTAGCACTTTTTCCCTTTTAGGGATCTTATGGTGATTAATGCTATTTTAAAATATTTTTATCTTTCCAATGTCTGTCTACATTGTACAGTTGTACTTCTTAGCCCTGTTGTAGCTGCTGAGGGCCGTGAGAACGAAACATACTTGTCTGTTCTAAGCCAGGGTTTGACCTGTGCAATGAGGTTCTTCAGAACTCTGCTTCCCTCTGGCACAGTAACTGCAAATTGCAACAGGTGGCCTCCCCACCAGCCTGGGTCACCACCGTGAGGAGAGCCCCTGCAGCTTGCCCACATTAGCTAAATTCTATCATTGGGAAATAAATTGTTTGCAGACATTCGGGGGCTATTGGTTACCACAGCAGCATAACCTACCCATTTTGGAAACTACAGGGACATTTCTTTTGATTTAGATTTCAGTTATACTTTTTTTAGTTATCAAA